TTACTTCAGTTCCAATCCCTTTTTGTTCTTTTCCAAAGTACTTCCAAAAGCTCCACTGCATCCACCCTAAAATACTCCACCATCTTCCAGCTCTCACCCTCCCTCTGCAGGCATGAACTGGTTTCCTACTTTACTGAGACAATACTATAGGCCATTAAGGTGTTCAACTGCCCTCTTCACCAAATGGGAGAGGGGGGAGCATATCTTCACTCATCCTGTCTCCTTTATCTAGAAGAGGTCCTAAAAACTGAACCTGGTCCTCTGACATGTTTCATTTAGCATGCATGGTTCTTTTTTTTTTTTCCCCAGAATATACACTTTTTTTTTTAAAGATTTTATTTATTTATTTGACAGAGCTCACAAGTAGGCAAGGAGGCAGGCAGAGAGAGAGGGGAAAGCAGGCTCCCTGCTGAGCAGAGAGCCTGATGTGGGGCTCGATCCCAGGACCCCGGGATCATGACCTGAGCTGAAGGCAGAGGCTTTAACCCACTGAGCCACCCAGGCGCCCCGCAGAACATACACTTTTAACAAGGATACATTAATGCAAATTTTACTGAGATATCATTCATAGCATGAATGGTTTTTTGTGTTTGTTTTGTTTTGTTTTTTAAAGATTTTATTTATTTATTTGACAGACAGAGATCACAAGTAGGCAGAGAGGCAGGCAGAGAGAGAGAGAGAGGAGGAAGCAGGCTCCCCGCAGAGCAGAGAGCCCGATGCGGGGCTCGATCCCAGGACCCTGGGATCACGACCTGAGCCGAAGGCAGAGGCTTTAACCCACTGAGCCACCCAGGCGCCCCGCATGAATGGTTTTTAAAGCAGAAATTAGTTACCTCTTAAAAAACAAAATAGATTTCACATTATGAAATCTAAACCCCTGACTTTTCTCAGATAATGAGATGAGATATCACTGGGCCTCTACCATGTCATTGGCTAATACTAAGCATTGGCAGTCACCTTCTCGCACAGAGCATAAGCACCTTCCTTATTCACCAGGTCCTCCCTATCAACCAGCTGCTTCGATATGCAGTCTCCCTACATGGACCCAGGGAGCATGGAATTCGTACCACCTAGAGCTAAAGAAGAGTTCTATTTTCTTGCTCCCAGGGCTGAGATCTTTTCAGCCTCACCCCTCCCCATCACTGTCTGACTCCAAGGATCCCTCAGAGGCACTGCATCTTTGATCTCTCTATGAATGAGGTAGCATCAAGTCAGCACCTACACTTCCTCTCAAAAATTCAGTCCTCATCCTCCTTTGATTCCATGTCAGCCACCCCTGACTTCAACCCCCTCCTTCTGGGTCCCCATGTAGAATGCTCTCTACTAGTATTCTGCTCTTTGAGACACTGGCTCTCCAGCCCTCATGGTAATGTCACATTGCCATAAAAGCCACTGAACACTTGTCTCCAATTTTTGCCCTTACATCAACACAAACCACCACACTGAGAAAAACAAGCCTAGGTGTATAAAAACTGACATGGAGAGATTTCTTAGAAATGTAAATCTGATGGCATCACTCTTGGTCTTACAACCCTTCCCTGACTCCCTACTACCTGCCTGCTTGGTAAAAACCCATGTTCTTCTGTAGGCCCCAGGTGTTTGTGACTTGGCCCCTTTCTACCAATCTACTTCTAGACTTGAGAAATCAGTGATAAACTGGCACTATTTCACATCCCTGTGACTTTACACATGCTCTTCCCTCAGGAGAACTTTTGTTCATCCTTTAACACCCAATTAGCCAGAACAACCCTTTCTCGTATGTCATACTGTACTATTTGTTTCCAAGTTTGTCTCCCCTGCTAGGCTGTGGATTACCTGAGGCCCAGAGGCAACCATCAGTGAACTTCCTGGCACATAAATTTTCTTTAAATGTTGGCTACCTGGGCCTACCAACAGGACAAAAAACATACCCACCAATCTTCCTGACACCGAGGTTTAAAACCCCTCCCCTTAATCCCTACACCCACTCAGTTGCCAAATTCCAGTGAAATCTTTGTCACCCACCCATGTCCAGCTTAAAACATGTCTCTTCCACAGTTGGATCTTCCTGCTTTCCAAGTAAAAAGAAGACAAGTTCTCCTCTCAAAAATCCTGACTCCTTACTGACCAAGGCCCAACGGCTTAACCTGGCATTAGGGTCCCTCGAGGGTCTGACACTTTCCGGATCTTCAATCTTACTGGCTCTTCAAAGCCCAGCTCAAGTACGGTTTTCCCCAATACATTTCCCCTTTGACAAAAGTGGCCACTCTTCTAGAGTGTGCCGGTTTTTTTTTTTTTTTTTAACCTCCTAGGGCATTATCACTTTCTACCTATAGGCCCCATTCTCTCTAGCCAATGGAGCCCTAACTAAATCTCCACATTCTCCTCTTCCCTAGCATTAGCTAACTGTAGTGACTTAACATTTAAAAGCAGGAAAACAAAGTAAACCACCTGAAGGGACCCAAAACAGTAACCTGCATCTTATTTTAATCAGACCTACTTACTAGTTAGCTTAAATACTTATTTACCCTAAATCTTCCTTCCCGAAAACCTCCTCCTCCTCCACAACTTAACTTAAAATATTGTAGATGCTGAAGTTTGCTTCCTGTTCTTAATTTTTAAGTTAATGGTTTTCTCTTCCTCAAAAGAATGTAAAACAAACTCCAAAACCAACGAACTATGGCATTCAATGCCTACCCATGACTCTCAAGGGAAAAGAAAAGGATTGCTTACAAGTGGGAGGATTGGATTGAGTAATACACATCACAAAGATATATGGGCAAGTGACACCTACTTCCAAGATACTGTAAGACACACCTTTTCCAGATAGCTTATGCTAACCTGCAGGGCAGGATAGGCAAGAGAACAGCCCTTGGGAGGGTCTGGCAGAATATGCCAGGTTTTTCTGCAGAGCAAAAGAAGCACTTTCCACACTTGGAATGAATACTGAGTAAAACTGAACTGGGAACAGGTGAAGCAGAATTAAAAGCAATGAGACTAGGCAGAAGACAGCAGAGGTTTAAGCTTGAGAGTTGGGAAAATAAGATGGGACTGGATTAGTAAATGTTTTGTGTATCTCCAGAGGAGGAGTTTAGAATGAATGAGATAGCCAGCAGGACTTCTAGTAGTTCCCAGGGAAGGAAAATGATTTTCTGGGGGAGGATCAGTTAAATGCAAGTTGTGCTAGAGAGGAGGGAAAGAGGGAGGAATGGAGTGAGGGCAATGAACTAAGGGAGGGGCACATACCAAGAATGCAGGTCTTTTTTTTTTTTTTTTTTTAAAGATTTTATTTTTTTATTTATTTGACAGCAAGCAGGCAGAGAGGCAGGCAGAGAGAGAGAGAGAGAGAGGTGGAAGCAGGCTCCCTGCTGAGCACAGAGCCCGATGTGGGGCTCGATCCCAGGACCCCAGGATCATGACCTAAGCCGAAGGCAGAGGCTTTAACCTACTGAGCCACCCAGGCGCCCCAAGAATGCAGGTCTTAATTGCAGCAGAGGCAATGGAAGGAAAGGAATGACTGCATCTAAGAGATTTTCAGAAGCACTGACAGGACTTAGTTACATCAAACCTTTTAGCTCTGGGGAGTGGGAAGAAATTCAGTCGCCAGGGAGAAAAGAACGAGGGGCCTAAGAAGTTAAAATTTAAAAGTTAGGGGGTGCCTGTCTGGCTCAATCCATAGAACGTGTGGCTCTTGATCTCAGGATCTTGAGTTCAAGCCCCACTTAGGGCATGGAGCCCACCTTAAAAAATTAAAAATTTTAAAAAAACTTAGAAAATTTAAAGTTAGGAAAAATTAACTACAGGAAAGTAAAACTGATAGAACATCTACAATGTTTTAAGTTATGCTGTGGAGAAGAATCACACAGAGTCCTATCTCTTCTGAAGATATTAAAACAAACAGCACCCAGGCTTTTTTTTTTTTTTTTTAATCAAAGGGAGTCAGGAATTACAGCTTGTCCAATTCTCCAAGGACACTGTGAAATTTCTGAAGTCAGATGCCAAAAAAAGATCATTTTCTTCCCAGCCAGAGGGCTCACCATTTGGGAGCCAGGTATCCAGAACAAGGGCTCTAAGTCTGAATCCTGGCGCCTCCACGTAATGGACGGCAAAACCTAGAGAAACTTGCATACCCTGGGAAAAGGGGGGTATGTGCTTTGTTACTGTTTCTTGGCTCGGGAAGGAAGGGCAATAGTTGAAGGTGTTGCGTAGGTATAAGCCTGAAATGCTGATTCTGAGAGAAGGTGAGTCACCACTTGCAGAGTTTCAGTTTCCCCAGCTGTTAATTTACAGAGAGGAAGATAATAAAATCCACCTCACTGGATTTTTTAAGAGCTGCATTAGATAATCCTTAAAAAGTGTTTAGCATAACGTCTGATGTGCTATAACCATTGAATAAATGTTAGTTGAACATAATATCGATACAATGATTAATGCTCTTTTAACACTATTATTAAACATCCCTATCTCTTCTTGATATTCTGTGCATTTTACCACTAGAATGGTTTTGTCAGATTCTCAAAAGGGACTGAAATCCCAAAAAGGTTCAGAACCACTGTACTGGAGACCTGGGAAGAGAAGGGTGGCTGATGTGGTGGTTAAGGAGGCGGTGGGCCCTGGTATTAGGCCCTGCGCACCTTCCTGAGGGTCGGGAGGGGAAAGAGAACAGGCAACATTCGCAGCGCGCTCACCCCAGGCCAGTCACTGAGCTCTGCGCTTTACAAAAGCATCTACTCCAATCCTCGCGACAGCCCTCTGAGGTAGGTGCTTTCGTCAGCGCCACTTTACAAATGGGGAAACTGAGGCGCCCCAGGACTGAACCGCTAGCCCAAGGTCACATGGCTCGAAAAGCTGAGAACGCAGGTCCGTGGGCTCTGGAGACTGCGCTCTTAACCACGTTCGCTGCGTCCCAGTACGAAGAGCAGGGAGGAAGGGGGTGGGGGCGCCCTGGGAGCTCGGCTGAGCGGAGGCCGCGGGGGCCGGGCCGCGGAAGGCGGGCGCGCGGGGGCGGCGGCGGGACTCACCTTGGCGCTGTGCACCGCCTCCTGCGCCCCGCGGAGCTGCAGCCAGATGCGCGCAGGCAGCGGTTCTTCGGCCCCGAGCGCGCCAAGCACCGCCAGGCTCACGCCGAACAGGCCCTCGATGCGGCCGCGGCTCCGCTCCAGCAGCGCCGCCTTCTCCGCGGGCGCCGTGAACTCGTCCAGCACCGCCCGGGCCGCCATGGCGGGCGCGGCCTCCCGCGGCGGCGCCGGGGGCCGGCGGCGCCGACGCCCCCTCAGCGTGCTGCCGCTACACCGGAGCCCGTCAGGAGGCGTCGGCCCTGGCGGCCGCCTCGCCCCCGCCCGCGCCCCGCCGCCTTCCCTCAGGCCTAGCTACACCATCCCGGCACGGCCGCCGCAGCTTGGCAACTGAGGGCAGAGAACCCCTCCGCCCCTTCTCCGCCGCTGCCGCGGGCCGAGCCCCGCCGCCGCGCATGCGCTCAGCCTGCCGCCGTCATTGATGCTCGCCGCCTCAGAGGGAAGGAGGGAGGGCGGAGGCGACGGAACTGGACGTCACGCGCAGTAGCCGTGTTTGTTGAGGGCAAGGCGACGGCTGCGGAGAGGGGCCTGGGCGGCCTTCTTTGGTGAGGGCAGAACGCTTTGGGGCGTCTTGATGGATGGTGAATCTCTGGTTTTAAGGTTGGGGAAATTGAAGCTCTGAATCAGCTGACAGGACTGACCCAGTATCACAAGAGATTTGGCTTGTCTTCCTACATCTAGAAGCCCAAATTAGGGCTCTAGCAATTGAAGTTTTCTAGCTTCTCAGTAATTGATAGGCAGATGGTCTCTCTCCATTTCTTCCTCTCCCTTCCCACCTTCCTCCTCTCCTCTCCTCTCCTCTCCTCCCACCTTCTCTCCATCCTTTCCACCCTCTCTCCACCCCTTCCAGATTCTCAATAATTGCTAGGCAGATTTCCTTCCTCCCTCCCTCCCTCCCTTCTCTTTCACCCCCCCTCTCTCTCTCCCCACCCATCTTCTTCCTTTACATTCTCTTCCTTCTTTTCTTTCCTATTGCTTTTTCGGTAAAAATGGTAACAAGTAGAGAAAAAAATGGGAATAATAAATATGGAGAATTGAAGAGCAAAGAAATGATTAAAAAATTCAGAAGAGTGATTTCTTCTGGGAGGAAAGAAGGGGAATGTATCATAATAGAGGTACAAAAAGTGGGGGACTAAGGATGCATCTGTTTTTCTGTGGTACTTGAATAAATATGCCCTAACCCCGCTCCAACTTTGTTTTCTCATCTATAAAATCATGGGTTTACTCAGTTATCTTTAAAGACTTTTCCAGATCTTACATTCTTTGAGTCCATAACAAGATATGGAAGATAAAATGTTGGTTTCCTTTCCCTGGGCTAAATGTCATGGATATAGTAGATAGATAGACAAGAATCATGGGAATATTACTTAACTTCTCTGTGTCTTAATTCCTGATTTGTGAAATGAGGGCAACAATAGTGCCTCCTGTTGTTGTGAAAATTACTGCACTACCTGGACACGGTAAGTGATCCCTAAGTATTAGCTATTACTATTGCTGAATTAGCAATGCATTTAAGGTTCTATTTTCATGGGAAAGCTTTGTATGGATTATACAACCGTGCTGAACTTGTGGGCTTGGGAGCCCCCTCCATCTGTGTAGATTTCCCCTTAAGGAGAAAGAAGAGGATCTAAAGATGTTACAGTTGGAAATGCCAAAGGTAAACGGTCTTGGTAAGAGGGATTACCCAAGGTAAAACCTCTCAGGGATCCTGGCTGCTGGGGTTTTCCATTTGTATCAGAAATTTAGGCAGGTGTGGTTCCCTGGTGCTCCAGTGAGAGATGACTCAACACAGGGAAGAGAACCTTAGGCTCACAGACCAATGACTTCCTGTTCCCCTGGGCTTTTCCCTTGGTGTCTACACAACTAGAAGTCTTCCTCCAATCTTCCTCCACCTCCTCAGGTAGGTGACCTGAGACTGGCTGAGACAAGGCAGGTGGTGAGCATGGCCTTGCTGATAGATTGCAGTCAGAGCTAGAGTCAACACATGTTATTTCCTGTCTTCTTGCTGTACTCACCTTAAAAGGAATTGCTATTGTTCAGTGATTGGACAAGGTTTTCCCCCGGGCTTTCTTGTTTGCTCCCAGTGACTTCCTGGCCAGTGATTCTTAATTGCTTAATTGTAAAGGGTGAGGAGAGGTTGCCTTGAAAAACACACAACAGCTCCTTCCCGTCCCCCAACAAAAACCCATCCTATGCCAACAAAAATAGTGCATACACACACACCCATAAAAGATAGCTGATACATTACATGTATAATGTATATTGTGTTCATAAGTCACTGGATGAGTGTATCACCGGACATAGAGCTGTTGGGGGTTTTTCCCCCCTATTTAAAAGACTTGTCAACTCACATCTGGTCAGCATTTCCTTTTAGGGAACTCTCAAGGTTTCCTGAGTGTAGGGAACTAGGAGAGAGGGAGAAAGAGAAATCCCCTTTTTAAGAAACTCCCTTGATTCCTGCAATTTCTGAACCACAGTTTTCCTCAGTTGACCAGCCTAGCCTATCTTGGCTAGTCTCATCAGCCCAGGACAATTGATGCCAAGGATGAGACCTTTATGGAGTCTATATTCCAAATCCTTTACCTATTTTTTTTTCTCTAATATCCCATGAAACAGTGTTAAGAGAATCTCTTATTTCCCCTTCTCGTATTATCATGGAGGTGGGGGTGGATTCCTACTTTATCCCTAGCAGAGACAAGTATGGAGGAACATATCCCAGCTTCCATCTACTTCTCCCTCACTCTTCCCCAGGGCAGGAGGAAGACTTACTGGATCCAACAGACCAGTGGCTTTCTGAGAGGACTAAGTTGGACCATCCTGCCCCCAGAGAAGGTGTGTTATTGTGTGCTGTCTGCAGTTGTTCACTGGGTCACTTCAGCCACATCCTCCAGGCCAGCTTACTCAGTACAAAAAATGACCTTTTGACTTCCACCTGTCTGACACCTTTTTCTATTTCTCAGTTCTGAATGCAGGAGGGGCAGAAAGTGTGTATTGGTCTTCTAAAATGCCAACAGTGATTGCTATTATTATCATTTCTATTTTAAAGGTGAGGAAATAGAGGATTGGAGAGGTTTGGGAGTTTTTCACAGATCTGGGAAGTTAAGTGATAGGAATAGGAATTTGAATCCAGACCCTCTGTGCTGGGGCACCACTAACTCTTAGGCTCTGCTTGCCTTGGAATGCTGTCAAAAATAGACAGATTTGCACAAGTAACATTTCTTGGCACAATCAACCAATCTGATATACTGGTTCAACATGCCCTCCAGCCATCAGTCTCTAGAGTGATGAGTCCTCCTGGGTTCTTTTCTTTTCTTTCTTTCTTTCTTTTTTTTTTTTTTTTTTTTTGTATAATGACACCTACAGCTTTAGAGTAAGAAACAGGAATACAATTGTGTCTTAGCCACACACATTTTAATATATTTACAAACTGTTCAGTTTTTCTCATCTCCCTTGTCACTAGTCCAAGCCACTATCATTTCTCCCTTTGACAACGGTGGGGTCCAGCCCCCACATTCTTCCTGCCCTCTCTCCCAATTTCAAGAGCTACAACTGCCATCCAGTTGGGAGAAATTATTTACAAATATCGATGCTGCAGCCAGAGTATGTTCTCAAATGGCAGATTTCATCAGTCAATCTCTTAAGACCCCTCAAGGGCTTTCCCTTATGCTCAGAATAAAATCCAAACTTTTTTTTTTATTTAAGATTTTATTTATTCATTTGACAGTGAGAGAGATCACAAGTAGGCAGAAAGGAAGGCAGAGAGAAAGGGGGAAGCAGGCTCCCTGCTGAGCAGAGAGCCGGATATAGGGCTCGATCCTAGGACCCCGAGATGGTGACCCGAGCAGAAGGCAGAGGCTTAACCCACTGAACCACCCAGGCACCTCCAAATCCAAACTTCTTACTGTAGGTTTCAGCTTTTGCAAGAACCGTCTCCTGCTTATTCCTCCTGTACTCTTCTCTCCATCTAGCCTTACTTACACTGCCTGAGGGCATTTGCACAGGCTGGCTTTTTTTCCTCCTATCTTCTTTTTACTTAGTTGATGCCTGCTTCTCCATCATTTCAGCTCAAAAGCCACTTCTTTTAAGAATTCAATCACTGGGGGCGCCTGGGTGGCTCGGCTCGTTAAACATCTGCCTTCAGCTCAGGTCATGAACCCAGGGTCTCTGCTCAGCAGAAAGCCTCCTTCTCTCTTTCCCTCTGTAGCTCCCCCTGCTTGTGGTGTGCTTGCACGCGCGCGTGCGCTCGCTCTCTCTGTCAAATGAGTAGAATCTTAACAACAACAACAACAACAACCCACAATTCATTCACTGGCTTTTCTGATTGGTCAAATTGCCTTGTCACAGGCTCTTGGGGGCACTGTGGCCCTCTTGCTCACATCACTGATCAGTCTTACATATGCTTGTGTGGTATGATTGATTCACATCCATCTCCAGATGTCATCAGACCATCAGCTCCATGGGGGCTGTCCCGGAGGCTGGAATTAGCTCGAAGTATTTCAGGAATGGAAAGCAGGGCAGCATGGCTTTATGGCTAGAGAGTGCTGAGGCAGGGGGACACCCATAGGTAGGATGAGGTTGGAGCTTCCAGAACCAACCTGGTGGGCCACAGATTTTGTGTTTTAAGCACACTGGGAAGCCTTCCTGGGTTTTAAGCAGCAAGTGCTCCATTCATTGTGTGCTCTGAGATCTCCTGCCTTCTCTGGGAGAGGAAGCGTGGAGGACCAGAGTGGACCTGGGAATAGCACTTAGTTGGTGTTGATCCAGTAGAGGGATTGTGGTGGTTTGGATCAGGGAAGCCGGAGTGGAGACAGAGAGGAGGAATCTGAGAGGTGTTTTGGTGGCAAAACCTCAACAGGAAAGTACAGGGGGCTCGTTTCTCCTTAGCTGAAGAAAAGTCCTAGTGTTTCTGCTGCTTTGGTCTTATGCTTCTTTCCCTTTATAATTCCTCTGTGTTGTTATTACCCATGTCATTGGAACTCATCTCACCTTAATTCAAACTACTAACCTGCTACAGCATGGGAAGTCATTTGTAAATCTCAGTCGTCTCAGGAGGGAACGCAGTTTCTAGGCCAGGTGTTACTCCATGATTGCCTGCAACCTCCCAGCTCTGAGATGCTCTGGAGCTACAGTGTTTTCCTGTCACC